TCCCACCCCCGACTCAAAACACAGTAGTAAAATAAAGCACATGTTTCTGCCTAAGGATGGTTGACATGATAGGGAGATAGGGACTGGTCACGTCAAAGGTGAAGAGTGATTTTGGATGCTTTAGGTTTCAGATGCCCAGCAGGAGATATCTTAAGAGGAATCTGATTTTCAAAAATAGCTAAGAACCCACCTGCTGAAAAATCAGGCCTGGCTGCCTGGCCTTAACAGTAAAACTCTCAAAACAAGCAGACCCCAAATCACTAGAGAAGCAAGGGATGTTTTGGTGATATTTTTTGCTGGACCAACTGTATAGTTGGAAGAGATGTTAAAAGAAGCTTTTAGGCACAAAGTGCCCTTCCTCAGCTTATCTAAGATCTTGACCAAATATACAGTTGGTCCAACAAAAGATATCCTCAAAATAACCTGCCTCTTGCACATTTTGTGAACTATCATAGCTACCACAATACTCCAACCCAAAATCACTAGTCGCTTTTGAAAATTTACCTGGAACATATGCAAAGCTGTACTAAGTTACACTGTGGAGGCTTTTACCTGGCCTCACCTCACTGGATGCCAGAAAACAGAACTGACAGTGAGCCACTGAGGGGTGGTGGGGGAGCGAGTTGTTTCAGCCATTATTGACAAGGTCAGTGCTGCAGTAAATTTCTGATTTGTTAGCCATTCCCTTTTGTCTGACAGGGGTAATGGGACTAGTAACTGGATGTGTGAATTTTCGCCATGCAGCCATGTTTCATGATGAGAAATCATCGCCATCTTTTGAGTTGCCTCTATAAAACGACCAAGTATTATTTCAGTCTGGTATTTTTGTGGGCAAGTCTATACATCACAAACACTAGAACAGCGGCTTACTTGCCAAGTAGCATCCATCAAGGGCACAGACAGGATGGGCCTTGAGATCTGGCAACTTTCTTATCCCTACAGGATAGAGAAATCTTTAAGAGGACGATGTGCAAAACTTCTCCCGTAAGAGTAGGGACCCACTTTCTGCATCTGTCTAAGCACTTTTCCAGAGAGCACAGGACAAGTCTAATGGCACAAGCCATGAAAACAACAAAAATCAAATACTTTTAGTCACTATCCAGTACGGTCCCAGTGTTTCTAAATCACAAACATGATCAGGGGATCACAATATGCCTTTCTAGGTCTTTCCTTTGCTATGCCACTTAAGATCTAATGAAGAAAACACATCCCACATACAACCTTATCACCTGGAGATGGTCACTTTGTGCTGAGTCTTGGCCATTTGGAAACTGTAAGGGTGTCAGCCACCAGCATGCTGGAGGCATAACTTAGCTATAAGTATTTAGGCACAGGGCCTGACTTCTTTGTTCTGTGCTTGTACTACAACAAGCATAAAAATGGCATCCAAGTCCATTAGTGGGGCTCCTAGGCACTGCCACCACATAAAGAAACAATGGTAATTATCAATATTGGAATCACCAGAAAGACCCCAAGGACCTTCACTTGTTCATTTGCAGAAACTCTTGTCGAAAGGAGGTAAAACCTGAAGGGATCAGA